TGGAGATGGAAGAAGGAAATTCTTCCATATGTGAGGATTCAGGGAAAGATGAATGTGTTTAGGGGATGCATTTCTGAAGCTGACTGCAGAAAATGCCACCAGCCTTCAGTGGCAAACCATGAAGACTCTCACGTAGCTAGTAAATTAGCTAAATAGTCCCCTTATGATGCACAGAAGAGATGAGCTACTGCACTTGCCCAGGGCACATCCGGTGACCCCACGACATGGTGCAGCGAGGCTGGTATGAAAAGGCTTTTGTGGGGGAGGACTTAAGGCTTTTGTGTAAGGATGTATGTCTTCCAACATCAGGCTAGCTAGATGCTCTCAAGGTCAGACAGATCACAAAGGCTCTGTCTCAAACAGTGAACTGTGGGTGCCATTTCAGAGGCAGATATTTTGGACATTTCTGACTTCAGCCTCACATGTTTGTATCGTGGGGAGTGGGAAGCACCTCTTTGAGTAAGTGGCTCTGCATGTGGATTGTCTACAGTGGTGGGGGGACTGCAGGGGGGTCCAAAACCAGCCCTCCTGGGTTCCCCCCATGGCCACACCCCTTCCCATTCCTCCTAATTACTGATCATGTTACATCTTCCCAGCTTTTGTATACGTTCTCCTCCACACAGTCTACAACCTACCTAAAGGCACAGTGTCTTACTCTTCTCTCCCTCATTGGCTAGTAGAGGCTAACCACCCAGAGGGAGGTGGGTGCTGTGGAAAAGTGAAAAATGCTTGCAGCTCAAATGCCCTTCTGTTCATCCACTAATTACTGGGGATCATATGCCCACTCCTTAACTGAGTATTTGTGTCCATGCATGTCTGATAGCACCTACGTACACTTCCAGTTGTAAAGTGACAGCTAGAGGGGCTCTAACAGATGAGAGAGATACAAAATGGGCTCATGTCTCCCTCTCCACTTACTCACTTGGGTGGACTCCAAGGGCTGATGGAGGACAGGAGGGCCTGGAGGAATGTTGTCCATGGGGTCATGATGAGTCGGGCACGACTTTGCGACCAAACAACCACCACTTACTTCACAGCATGCACAATTCTGTACACTCCTGTCATGTCTCCCCTCACTTGCCTTTTTTAAGTTAAACAATCCCAGATGTGTTACCCTTGCTCCTGGGGGATGGTGTTGCTCCAACCCATTTAGGTACCCATTTAGGTAGCCTTTCCTTTTAGGTACCCTTTTTTCCCAACTCTAATATTCCTTGTCCTAGGTCCAGTGACCAATATTTTTATATGGGCTGTATGATATTTTATTTTCAATTCCTGTCTAACTTATCCCCAACATGGAGGTTGCCTTTTTTCAAGCGGTCACATACTAGGCTGACATTTTTACTGAGCAAAACTCCAAGATCTCATTTTTGATCAGTCACCACTAGCTCAAGTCCCATCAATCTATACTTGAAATTGGGGTTTTTTTGTCCAACATGTATTACTTTTCATTTGCTGTTTCAATGCCCATTCTTCCAACTTGGAGAGATCTCTTTGGAGCGCCTCACAATCCCTTTTCATTTTAGCCACTAAATTGTTTGATGTCATCAGCAAAGTCGGCCATTTCACTACTTACTCCTAATTTCAGATTATTGATGATTAGGTTGAAAAGAATCATCATCCCCATTATTATTGTGTGACTACATAACATGTATATACTGCCTTTCTTCCTCTTGCAAGAAACTCAAAGCAGTTTACAAGGTTCTCCCCCTCTCCATTTCTTCCCAGAATAACAACCTTGTGCGGTAGGTTAGGCTGAGAGTGAGTGACTGGCCCAGAGTCACCCAGTTGGCTCCATGGCTGAATGGAGGCTAGAACCCAGCTCTCCCAAGTCCCAGTTAAACACCATAGCCACTGGACTGGCTTTCAGCCCTGGTCCCCTAGGTCTCCACTGTTTACTCCACTGGAAGAATTTATCATGTATTCCTATTCTCTGCTTTTCGTCCTTTAACTAGTTACTATCCTTAGTTCTAACAATTAGCTATGTGAAGAAGGATCTTCTTTTTATCTGTCCTGAATACTCCCAGCATTCTGCTTCATGGGATGGCCACAGGTTCTAATATTATGAGAAGGAGAGAAACGTCTCCCTATCTACTTCCTTATCGCAAACAAACTAGCAAAACATAGATATGAGATCTTTTTATCTGTTGGAAAGTGAAATCCATTCCAGCCCTTCTCTTCCTTTTCCACAGCTTGCTTACCATGTTTTAGTTCAAGCTCTGTGACAACAGGGCCAGGCTATTTCAGTCAGAACATCAGAAATGCACACAACCTTCTCAGGGACCCAGTTCCCAGCCTTGCTCTCTATTTGTATGATATTCAGTGGATTCTTCTCTGGTCTTGACATGTCTCATCTTGCTCTATTTACAGCATGCAAGCACAGGACTGCTGCCGCTTTGGTCATTTCCTTGACTCCTGATCCTTACCACATTCTTCCCTTCTTTACATCTCTTCCTTGGGGGTCTTTTTTGCCACAAAATCACCTTCAAGCTCTCTCCAGTTCCTGCTCTTCATACACCTCTGCTCTTGATCAACCTTCTTGCTAAAATGGCCAAGACACACCCCACTCTCACTTCTTGGAGGAAGACAGTCATGCTTCTTACATTACTCCTGGAGGACCCAGCCAGATCTAGACACATTAACAACGAGTGCCAAAGTCACCCAACCAGAACTTTTGTGGAGAGGCACGTCTAGGAACCTTAGTCTCCAAAAATTATCAAAAAAGCTGTAGCAAAGGACAATCTGAAAGGGAGACATGACATATGACAGGAGAGGTACTTGATCCTCCTCTTACTGCACGCAACGCTTTTGCCTCTGAATCCCAGTTCCCCAGCTGAATTTGCTCCATCGTTGGAAAATAGGTATCTGGGAACCCAAGGCAGATAGCTAGAAGCAGCTGGGAGAGGGGAGTGAAGGGAAAGGGAGAAACAGAAGTTACGTACCCCTTTCCTGCCTGCCTCCTCCAAACTGTACCACCCCTTGTGCTTTTAAATTTGCAGCAGAGGACTGGATTTCTAGGTTGGGGTATAAGATGTGCAAAGATCAGCCTTCAACATCTAGATTAAGACTACTTTTTTTGGGGGGGGAAAAAACCATGTTCTTGATCTCAAGATGTCACAGGTCTGAGGAACTATTGTGAAAATGATAAAGTAACCTTCATTTTCTTGAACAGTGTGTCTGTTTGTCCTATCCATTCATTGTGTGTGTGAATGTGTATATTATGGTGAATGTCAGAACTTGGAGGCAGCTCAGAGCATTCATCGGTGAAAAGCATTTTCAAAGTAAAGCATGTCCCACTGAAGTCTCATTTTTAACACGGTGGCTTTTGGCCCTTTGGCACCAACTACTTACAAGTGATCACCGCCAGTTCTTGATGAAATTTCAGACGAGGCAGCAACTGCATGTTAAGTGCAACCATGATTGTGATGCCCCTTTGAACCAGGTGAAGATTTGCATTTTGGATGTGTGCTTGTAGAATCCAGCCAACACAACAGTGGACCTGGCTTGTAATTAGGGGTTCCTGGGATCAGTTGTCTATAAATACCATTTATGGCTAAGAACCATTTTCACGTGGAGGCTTAAAAATCAGCCTGTAGAGCCAAAACCAATTGCAGGTGAAAGTAAAAGTTTCTTCAGTTACCATGATCCATTCTGTCCAATGTTAACCATGTTCAAACATGACACCAACAGAGTGAGCGAGGCTCGAAAGTTGCTTTTTAGCATTCTGTATGAAGCTCTTAGTAAGAGTTACAGGTGAAATGTCAACAAGAAATCTACAGCCTGCTTTAACCATCCTGCCTTTGGAGACTTACTGGAACTTTCATGAAGCAGAGCTCCTCTGAGCATTGCTGAAGGATGAAGCGAATTAAGAGAAGGAATGACGGCAAGACATAAAGAAAGATCAGCTGGGGACAACAGGCACAATAGAAATGAACAAAAAGAACTTCCAGGTGAGCCCTTAACTGTACTATCATTCTGCTTGATTCCCAGAAAGTTAAGGTGAGGAGGAGCAGAGAGATGCCTTCTGCCGCTTATAACCTTCCCATATTTTCCCACCTCTTCTTCCATCTTCTTTCTCACCACATAAAATGCTTTAAGGAGGAAAAGACAGAAGTGCCTAGAATGCCTTCGGATAGGAAGCTGCAGGAGCCCTCCATTTGGACGTACTCTAAGTGGCTGCTCAGACATACTAGAAGCTGCTAATGCCATACATGGCAATGAATAAAATGACTGTGGATCCAATGCACCATTTAATAGACCAAAAATGTAAAGATTCACACCGTGGTGCCTCAAATAAAAGAAATGACCAGTACCAAACGGAACTTTCCAGATGAGATGACATGAAACCCACAGGGCAGTCTGTTTGGCTAGAGTGCCATGCCTATCTTGAGAGCCATGGGTTCAAATCCCTTCAGACATGAGCTCGCTAAGTGTGCACAGGCTCCATTTTTTAGCATCCTTTGTTTAATAAATGGCTTACTATACAAACACATTTTGTACTGACTTTTTAAAAAATCCCCCCAAAGGGGAAGTAAAAAAACTCAAATGGGGAAGTTTTAATCATAAAGAGAACTCAATTCTAGAATCCAATGTACTTTCAGAAGATGATTTATATGTTTGGTCATTTCAGTGCAATTCTATGCATGAATATTGTCATTTATTTGTATAAGGAATGGCACTCTAATGACTCAGAATGCAACCCTTTGCAAGTTTAGACAGAAAAAAGTCCTAATTCCCAGCATTCCCCACTGAGTCATTCTGGAAGTTGTAGAACTTTTTTCCTATCTAAACATGCAGAGGATAGTGGCCTAAGTGTAACAATGAATAAAAGGGGCAAAAGAATGAAAAAAACAACATAAAAATGGTGACAGACGGCAAATCAAAGTAGAGAATGTGCACAGGAATCCAGCAAGATAACTAATACAACCAAGGGAAACTTAAAAGTGCAGAAAAACTGAAAGGGCTACCTTAAAGCCAGTGGTGGCAATGACAGGTGCACATACCTTTTTCCGGTGTGGGTCATTCTTTGCGAGGCAGGATCTCTGGAGGGAGAGGTAGCCTCCAATCACCTGGATCTCCTCAGCGGTGGGGTAGCGTTTCTTCACTGGTGCCACCGCTGTGGGAACTTCGCCCTCAATGCCATTCTCCACCGCAGTGACAGGTGTTGTGGGCGCCTTGCGGGGATTGATAGTGATGGTGTTGCCACTGCGACGCTGCACCGCTGGGTGGGGGGATGAGGCCCGGGCCAAGCCCCCCAGCCTAATATCTTCCTTAGCGCTGCTGCTCCCGACACGCCTCATGGCCTCAGCCTCAGGCAGCTCTCCAGCGTCCGGGACAAGCTGTTCACGTCTGGGTGAGGAGCAGGAAGTGGGGGCCGGGGGCTTGACAGAAGGAGAAGGGTTGGCTTCCTGTTTGGGTTCAGGAGGAGGGGAGGCCGAGGCACGTCGCGGCACAACCACAAAGGAGTTCCGGGAGTGCAGGCGCAGATTGGCCAAAGCCTTTCCCTGGATATCATCCTCGGCGACCAAAGCGGGTGGTGTTGCAGGGTGCATCTCGAAAGTAGCCTCCGAATCACTACTCTCTGGTCTGGGCCCTCTCTCTGGGGAGGCAGCCTCCCTCCCCCATGTTCTTCCGGTCGGCGAGCGCCTTGGAGGGCTGTCTGGCCAGGCCTCCCCACTGCTTGATTTGGCTTTGAACTGGTTGCGGTAAGATGCCACAATGTGGGCCACTGGTGGAGTCAGTCCCAGAAGGTCACGTGGAGGGCTGGGGGTGCTGTCGGGGTGCTGCCGAGTCGAGCTGGGGGTGCTGTCGGGGTGCTGCCGGGTCGGGCTGGGATCAGCTGGTGCCCGGCCAGGCTTCCTGGCCGTGTAGGTGCTTTCTGTTAGATTCTCCGTACTGAGAGACCTCACTGGCCGCAGTGACACTGCACTGCTGCTGTCTTCCTGGCTAAAGCGGCTCAGCAGTTTGCTCACCCGGCCTCGCTGCTGCTCGGGCAAGGATGCCCGGCACTCGGCCCGGTCCGCAGAATTGAGATCCTCCACACTGCGGCTCAGAGCAGACTTGACAATGAAGACCTCTCCAGCACGGATCTCCGTCACACTGCCTCCCCGGCGTGCCAGCAGCTCATTGAGAGACTCCACGCTGCCGGACTTGGCTTCTCCCGCATGCCGATCACTAGCCAGCTGTGTCGGCACTGCCCCAGGGACCGACTCAATAATGATGACATTGTCAGCACGTAGGGTGCGGACACCTGGAATCTGTCCATACAGATCCACAATCTGCTTGGCTTTTGCACTGGTGATGTCGCCGTCTGACTCCTTGCTGCGTCGCTTCTCCAGCTGAATGAAAGGGTTCTGATGGACTGGGCCAATCTTCTCCCGGAGCACAGAGCTCTCTGGCTCCCCATCTTGGCAGGGTGAGAGTACAGCAGGAGGAGGGGCTACCCCACTCTCCATTCCTCCTGGCCCTCCAGGCTCTGAGAAAGACGTGCTAGAGCCCTGCTTGGCCCGCCGTCTTTCAATGATCTCCCGTTTCCAGGCTGGCATCTTAGCCATGCGGTCTTGCTGTTCCCGCTCCCGCCGACGGGCCTCCTCCTCCTCTTTTCGCCGACGCTCCAGTAACTGGAGCTTCCACTCTGGCAGTGCTGGAGCTGAGGACATCTTCACCTGAGGAATAGGCTAGGAGGGGCTAAGAGGGAAACCTAGGAAAGGAGAAGGGGTGTAAAAAAAAGGAGGGTATTAGAGGTGATTTGAAGATGTGAAGGCTATAACGCCAGGGAGGAAAAAATGTGATAAGGGAGAGAAAATGTGAGAGCAAGTCAGGGAAAGTGAGTGACAGCAGGAGCTGGAAAAGGAGGTAAGAATACGCCTAGAAAACAAAGACAAGGAACAAAGAAAAGAATGGGCAAAGTAAGCAAAGTAAGAATGGGCAGGGGAATAGGCCTAAAAAGAGGGGTAGGAGACAAAGAGAAAGGTTATGCTAGACTGAAAGAAGAAAGCAGAGAGTAGAGGGGAAAATGTGGAGGAAAGAGGACTGGAGAAAGAAAGGTGATGAAATAGAAGAGAAGGGGTGGAAAAGAATGGGGATTCAGGAAAGGAGCGAAGGGAAATGATGGAACAGGGAGAGCCCCAGGAGGAGGAGAAAGGAGGGAGGAAAGAGTAACTGTAAGAATTAGAGAGGCAAGACAGGAGGAGGAGCTGAGAAGTAGGGTTGAGAGCTCCTCCAGCTACTCAGGAGAGAGAGGGGGAGAGGGAGGGAGGGAGAGAGAGAGAGAAGAAAGATGAAAATACCTCCTTTAGGCTCCACCTGCGACTTTTCTTTCCCCTAAATACACCCAATCCACTCACCCTTTCCGGCACTGCACACGTCACTCACACTGCCTCCCATGCCTTTTGGGAGGTGACAGTTCCACACGTGGATCTTTGCACAAGGCACCCAGGCGTCCAAGACAGGGAAGGGGTAAAGGCAAGGATCCAGAGATAACTTTATCTCAGGCAGTGCTTTAAGCCTATTTTAGCCAACAGGACCCGGGTGGCTAATTAAGGAAGAAGAGGCAAAAGGAACAGGGGCAGGGTGGGGGAAGAACAATTACCACCAATTGTTTTTAAAAGCCACTCTTTCTGTTATGCATTTCTGTATTGCAACAAGGCACCTGCATCTACTTTACTGACTGTGAACACAAAGTCAGGGATGAGAGTTAATTCCAAATCATATTATCTGAACTAAAATAATGACATCTGGTCATCTAAAAAGGCAGGCTGAGAGCATGCCAATTCATGCACGCTACTTCCCGTGCATGCATGTCTGCTCCACAGTAAACCCCGGTCAGTTCAGTAGGGTTTACTCCTAGATAAATGTCTATGGGACTGAAGCTGTAATCTAGATTAAACATGGAGGTCCTGCGTTTTTGCTTCCAGAAATGAAACCTGATTCCAAACAACAGAGATCCAACAGTGGCTTTCTCCAAAACTGCTTCTTGAGCTGATGTTCCCTCCTGTTTGGTATGGAGATTCCTTTTACCAGAACCTGAGGTGCAAAATGTTTGGTGTTTAGAAGGTCAAGTAGAACCCATGAGTTCTGGGTCTAGGAAATTAAATGTATCCTTACAGGAAAGGTATCACTTCAGTGCTAACGTGTACACTTTTACAAAGTTGGGTAGGATAAAAATTAAACATCTTAAATAAAATAAATCCCGAATAACTCCCATCTCTAATGACAGAAACTGATCCACACACCCCAATGGAAGACTGGAAAAGAGAGCACGGAATTGAGAGGGATGTAAACAAGATCCATGCAAATCTAATTACCGGTGTGCAAGAGTTCCCAAATGTTAAGCAATCCGAGGAGTTCAAAAACCAGGAGAAGCGACAGCTATGGAAGGCAGTAGTGTTAAGTTGACTTTGGTACCTAACTCCACCTTTTGAGTCCTTAACTGGGTCAGAAGCCAAGATTCCGGCAGAGGAAACAAAGCCAACGAGGCGACGGGAGAGATGTGCTCTGATCTCAGCAGCTCAGTTGGAATCCGAGAGTCCAAGAGAATAATGCAGCCAGACCGGTGGACTTTTGTAGAACAAGAATGCCTTACATTCAGAGAATTCCAAGAATGCAGGTGTCCAGGGACTCAGAAAAGGGAATGTTCCTCCTCCTCCTAAACATGAAAAGGATAAAATAAAATCAAGGAACTCAAAAGAACCCAGGCGTCCGAAGTGGAAGCTGAAGATCAAAAGAACCTTTTGGTTAGTGGTGGAAACACATCTTCCAGGAATTTGAGACAACCAAAGCACCTGAAGACTGGAAGGGTGAAACAAAGATAGCAGTGGATGTAAGCCCAGGCGTCGGAAATCAAAGGCACCCCCCCCCTTTTTCCCCCTCACCACCTTCCGAGACGCTACTCCAGTGCCGACAGGATAAAAGCTGTCCACGCCAAATAAGAATCTGCTTTGGAGCGATGGCTTGTTTGGTTTCCCAGCAGAGGCTGCCGCAGAAAGCGCCAGGAAATCCCCCAGTTCTCGGAGCCAAGAGCGAAAGAAAAGGATCCCTCTCCGCTTTCAAGCCAGCTTGGTCTTGGAGGTGTGGGGCACGCGGTGGGTCGGATCCGTCGCTCGGCCCATGTTGGCAGAGAGCGTGGCTGGCTGCAGCGGGTCCTTCGTGGTCGCCTTTGCTTGGGGAGGGACCGAAGGGTTTCCAGCAGCCTCTGAAATCTCTCTCCCTCGATCTCTCTCTCGCTCTCTCCCCCCTCCCTCGATCCCCCAAGCCAAGGGGAAGGGAGGAGATCCAGACGGATCTGAGTCAGGGCTCTTGCCAGGAAAAAATGGTTTGGTTACTCAGTTCCTTTTTCTTCTTTTCGCCTTCCTTTTTTCACCTTGCATTCGCGGCTTTCCAAGAAGTTTTCGGATCGAAGCGGCGCAGAAACGCAGGGAGAGCCAGGAGAAATCTCTATCAGTCTCTTAACACATTAGCTTCTTTTAATCCTCTGCCGAGCTCCACCTCCACCCCCATTTCTCAAATCCTTTAACCCAGGAAGGCGTTCGCGCGCGCGTGTGTGTATGTGGGAGCAGCGGAGAGGCAGAGATGGGAGGGAAAGAAAGGGAAAAGAAAGGGGGGTTTCTCTAGAAAAAGAGGGGGGACAAGACAGAAAGAGCCAGGAATGAGGGGAAAGGAGAAGGGGAAAATGGGGGTCTTTGTGTATAAACAGAAGGGGAGGACAATGAAAAGGGGCGGGGCTTCGCTGGCGGCAGACAACTGGGGGGCGGTCTGGCGGGGGCGGGGGTGGATCAGGGCAGGAAGGGAGGAGTTGGCTTTTCACAAATCTTGGATTTTAGGTACAGCTCCTATTTACGAGATCCATGACTCCGTGGAAATGGGGGCCGCCGTGGATAGGCCCAGAGAGGAAGGAGCCCTCCTCAAAGAATCGGGCCTGCTTAGCGGCACGAACCCATCGCTAGATTGCAGGTCCTCGCTCGCACACGCGGAACACGCTTGGCTGTGTGTACGGGCAACCCCGCCCCTCACTGCGGCTCTCTCCTCTTAGCCCTCTGTGGTGCCTAGTTCTAAAGAGGGTGTGAACTATCTGAGCTTCTAGGATATTTAGGCGGCAGCCTTCTGAAAAGGCATGCTTAGGATCCTGCTGATGGAGAGCTTAACACAAGAAAATTGCAGAGTTCTCCTCCTCCTCCCAGACTCTTAGGAAGGACATATTAATCTGCTTGATTAATGCCTCATACTCTACAAACTATGGTTTCAGTTGCAAGCTAGGAGCTCAGATGCAAAATTAGGTTTCATGCTTCGGATGCATGGTTTTGTTTTGTAATATCGCAGCAAGGAGCCGGACCCATGCTTCTCACAGTGCAGTCTGGGGCAAGGGTGTGAGCAGTTGAGCAACGATCCACCACTTCCTGTTCTACAACAGATGCTGGGCTCATCTTAAGCTCCACTGCCCATGGCAAACCATTGGATTTAAGTTATGAGAATTTGTGCATTGCTCAGTGGGCCCAGGGGTTGAACTATCACAGTAACCTTGCTGAAGCTTTGCAGTTCTGAGTCTGTTCAGTGGGGACCCATGCAGAAACCTGATGCCTTCAGTTCTAGGAAAGGCTGGTGGAATGACGAATAGTAACTTACACTCACCATACAGGCACTAGCCCTAATTTCTCTGTCCTTGGCCCTGCACCCAGAGCCATGGGCTTCAGCCCTCGCTTGAACACACCACCGTCTCTGGACCTGTCCCAAACTGGAAATTGGTCTCCTGGGCCAACAAAGATTCAACATCCTGATGTAAGTGTAGCAAGCACAACAATAAAAGAAATATTCCAACTTCCTTATTTTCTATCCTCTCTATGGTGGTCAGAGGCATCCTGGGAAGTAGATCTAATTGGGTAACATTTACGTGAATTAACAGTTTGGGAGCAGGGATAATGAATGAGTACAAAATGGAAATTCACGTAGAATTTGTTCAGCAGTGAACATGACCTGAATAATTAGTTACCAGTTAGAGTCATAAAGAACTCCAATCTGCGGAATACAAAACTATTAGTACATGCTAAAGAACAGGGTTTTTTTAGTCTTCCTAATACCGATTTCAAGATTTGTCTCTGATAGATTTTTTTTCAGTTAGGGTCACTTTTGGAATCCTGCTTATTTAGGGATTCTTTAGGGAGGGGGGACAGCTGATTTCACTAATAAAGGAAGACCAATAAAAGTTGGTGTCAGGATGGTACAATGATTCGCATTCTTCCTGAGCTTCTGCATTGTGGGGAGATGATTCTCAGAACAGCTGAAAAGTATATTTAATGGGGACATTGTAGGTGTGTGCAGCTGTGTCTTCTCTGTCTTTAATGCCCAGAGAGCAAATGTAGGGAAACACTTTAGCTGCTGCTTAATAGCCATCCACTATTCCGACCGTATAGCAGATACTAGGCTGGCTGGTGCCCAGCAGACAACTGAAGCAGGATGCTTAAGGAGACCTTGTGGTCCATAAGAGTCTCCTGGCTGCTTCTCTCAAGTGCTAGCACCAGACCAGGCTCAATGATTCCTAGAAAGACAGTGCTGCCAAGGAACATTTGCTATAGCTGGTACTATAGCACAAACACTAAAGGTGGTAAAGTAACGTAGTTAGAAAACAGTATTATCACATACTGCTGATGCAAGAACAATAGGAAAATGTCAAGAAACTTCTGGTGATTATGCAAAGGAGGGGTGACAACAGATACTCTTACCTTGGATTATGACCTTTTCCTGGATTTTTAAAAATCCTGTTGTTGGTTACAATAGATTGGTCTTCTTGACTAACTGTTCTTAACATGTGTATGGCTTGGGCTTTGTAAACCTAATGCTAGCTTTAGTCCCACTGTTTACAATTTTCTCACTGGGTTGCAGTGTGCTTATATATGTTAACTCTCTACTGAAGATAACACATTGCAGATCTCTTGACTCATCTAGGCAACAAAAGATTTGGCTAGGATAAACCTGCTGGTTCTTTTAAGGAACCATGGGACTCGTGTCTGAGGGCAGGAGCAAGTTATTACAGTAATGAGTGCAAGGGGACCTGCCTGCCAGTGTAGTGGCATTCGGTGCACAGGAGCTCTAGCGGCACAATCAGGATTTTCAATCCAGCTATCTGTTTCACTGTGTGATTAGTATTAGGTTGCCACCTAGTGTCTAGATAATATTACAGTCAGTGGCCAAATCATTTTAAAGAGGGTTCAATGTGACGACAGGAGGATAATTTTATGTGGTTTACACATTGTTTTCTTTTGTCCCAAAACTTGTGAACAGAGGCAGTACTGGGAGATGGGTGTGCATTAGAGAAAACGATGCCTTTAACATCCCCTTTCCAACATCCTCTTTTCCTGCTGGTTGCTAACCATGATTTTTGTGCTGGTTGCATTTAACGCAACCCATTATCATTCCTACTTCAAATAGTCATGTATGTTTCTACTCTGTCGCGTGTCTTGTGCTCTTCAGGTTATTTTCCACAATATTGAACTGGCCTTCTCCAACATGGTACCTTCCAGATGTTTTGGGCTATAGCTTCCATCATCCCTGACTATTGGCCATGCAGGCTGCAGTTGATGGACTTTGTAGTCTAAAAAGCTCATAGAGCACCATGTTGGGGAAGGCCGATCTGGAGGCTCTCTCTGTGTGTAGGCCTGAAAGGTAGTATGCTGTGTGAGACTCATTGAAAGGAAAAGTCTCTAATTCAGCAAAAACCAGCACAACCTGTCGATGGGACACAAGCAGCCAGAGGCAAATCTTAATACCAGCTCTGGGAGCAGCCCAGAAACCCCAGAGCAAAGCTGCCCCTGCCCATACTTTCTCCTGGATTAACTATCTGGTTCTAGCAGCCTTTCCTAGATCATCATGCCCGCACAAAGCTGGCAATGTCACTGGTGCTCGACAGTGAATCCCTTCTTATATTTATAATCCTGTTTTTGTCATGCGCTCTCATTTTTCAGCATCTGAGACAGAGTCAAATGAGCTGAAGAAGGGAGAGTGAAACTGTGATTAGCTCTCTTTAGTTATTTTTCCAGCTTATTCAGCATTTACAATGAATATATATCCTCTTTTGTGTCTCATCAACAGGAACAGTATATCTGGAATGCCCAGGCAGCCAAAGCAGTTCAGCCTGTAAAGACTAGAATTCAGACATTCCAGGGGTTTTTCGCTTTTGTTTTGGCCAGTGCAGTCATGGACAAAGGAAACCGTAGCAAACGGGGACTTCCTGAAATCACAGACCCGTTCAGCCACTTGCCCCAGGCCTCTGCATGATCAGCTGAACTGCTGAAGGATATGCCCGGTTGCACATGGATGGCTCCAAGATGCATGTGTGCCTTAAGGTGCCCCGTGCTGCCAGTTCTCACGCTTGGGCACCAAGCTTTCAGTTTCTGTATCATAGGGGGTGTTGGGAGTGAGAAAGAGGTTTAGTCTTGGTGCACATTTTCAAGGCTGCCTGGCTGGACAGGAGAGGAGCAGGAGGAACAGGAACGTGAGAGAAGCCGAGGTGCTTATCTCAAGGCCAGACCCCACAGGTGGGCAGGCAGCCTCTGGGAGTAATCAAGATGTACAGTTGGTGGGAAGAGACTTGGAACAGGGGATCTTCTCAGAGGCAGGTGAAGGCAGTAGCTCAGTGATTGAGAAACAGAGAGGCAAACAACAGAGCCATGAAGCCTGTCTGAAGGAATGTGGAGGGGAGAAAAAGATAATTAGCTTGAAAGAAAGTGTGCTACTTCCTGTCTTATCCTCCCAGTAGTTTTATGAGATCGGGGGTCATAGGGCAAGGTGAAGTAAGAGAGGAATGAACTAGTGAACCTGAGGTCATAAGCACACAGGCGAAATTGGTTGGTGAGTATTAACTCACACACCTTGAATAGACAATGCGCTAATTATAATGCATGTGATGTATGTAGTGGGATGAGACAGGGAATATGAACTAGGCAGATGGAAAGATTATAACCTCCTAAGCACCTTACCCAGTGAGGGAAAAGGAGAGGACTATGGCAGAATGAGGAGTAAAAGGAGCTGCTTTGTGTGTTTGTACTTGGGAGAGCTTCGGATAGAGGGGACTTTTCCCGTCTATTGCAATAAACGAAGGAATCGCCTCTGTTGGTAGTCTTGGTTATTTAACTTGAGAAGTATTTTCGCAGCTTTTTGCATAAAATGGCAAGGCAGGTATGGCTCTCAGCCCCTTGACACAACATCGGCTGAGGAGGACAGCCCTAGTGGAGGACTGCTTGTTTTCAGAAGGCCCCTCCCAAAAAGATGGGGCCCAGGCATGCCCATAAGGACACTTCTTGGAGGTGAACACTAGACTGAATTCAACAAACCGTTCTGTGCATGCTCAGAGATTCAT